TGTGAGTATCTGACAGCAGTTTTGTACTTAATCTTACTCAAAGAGTGGAAACAGAATCTTAAAAAAAAAACTAAGGGAAAATCCTGTAGGGCAGGGAATTCTCTGCAAAACAGTATAAAACTCGAAAGCAAAACTTTTCATACTTAGCGCGAAATTCTAAGTGATGAAAAAAAATGCCACTTCTTATGGACCAACCCAATACAAGGTCTGGCGACTGATTCTGAAAAAGAAACCAGGGAAGACCAGCCAAGCTTTCAATCTAACTAAAGCCTGTAACTTGGTAAGGAGCTAATTTGAAAGTATAGGCAAATCGAACTCAGAAATCACTGCAGTCTCCAAGAAAATCAACTTCATATCATTTTAAAATCAATTTCGCAAGGAGGTTTGCATTTACGACTTACGTCCCTATGAGTCACGATTCAAGCAAGCTTGTCACACGATCGATAAGTCACATGCGCTCGTCCAACTCTAGCCCATCAAAGTCGGGCTAATGCCGTTTGGACTCCAAGAATTTCGGCACCGAGCTCATTTTTAAATTGCCTAAGTCACCAAATCCGCTAAAAACTTGTATATAGGGGTAGTTTAACATCCTGATTAAGAATATGTCATTCGCTCTTGTCGCTGGCGCTAATGGATGACACTACGATTATCTGCGCTCTGCTAAGGCTGAGCCTAGGAGGTGATCCTAGTGTCCTCTCCTGACGGTGATAATAGTGTCCTCTCCTGACGCCAGCGAAAGTGAATGTCATATTCTTAATCAGGATGTTAAACTACCCCTATATACAAGTTTTTAGCGGATTTGGTGACTTAGGCAATTTAAAAATGAGCTCGGTGCCGAAATTCTTGGAGTCCAAACGGCATTAGCCCAAAGTCGCAATGACGAACATAATCATGTAACACATCCCCTCCCTCAGCTGATCGTTTTCAGTGTACGTCTCCATCTTATGAACAAAAATCAAGCTGCTACATGGCTTAGATCGGCATTCTGCCAGAGCTCCATCAGCCGTGCATTAAAAGGTATAGATTGACAGAATGAGCGCTTTCATGGTGGCGTTGGTAGGTCGTGACTAATGGCGCTAGTACACGCATACAGGCGCTGAGTACGGTAGCTGTAGACCAGATGAGGGTCGAAATACCAAGATCTGATCTTGCCTTGATCTCAGCCGCAAAGACGTGAGATCCCAGGCTGAACGCTTACAGTGAGCTGCCACATCCACCTCTCGACGTGGACCTAACGTACATCAGAACCCGAAAAGGTCGGAAATTGGTGTGGGAGCGCGGGTAATGGTCACATATTACCTTTTCTTCCTCATTCTGGTGTTTGAAACGTTTTTAACGTTTTCCGTGCGCGATCTCGGGCTCCTACAAAAGTATGGACACATGTATCCGATCGAGATTTAGGAACCAATTGGTAGCAGTGACCATAACATCCGTTACTTTTGAAGTTGGTCTTGAGTTCGGACAGAATAGCGATATAATATTCACCCGTGCCTATACAATCAGAAAGTGTCTTTGTGCGGCCGACTAGTGCAAATCTCTCTGAAGCGTTGATCCAGTTGATGAAAAGTATGAGCCGTTCTCAGCTATTCATCATTTCACCAGTGAATTATTTTGCATCATTCAGGAGGCCACTGGAGTGCAGCTTCGCAGCATCTGATCAAAAATAAGCGCGAACAGAAATGCCCATTAGATAAAGCAGTACCGAGTCTCAGCCAAGCTTAATGGGAAGAGCACAATAATTCAAGAGCTTTATTGAGGAAAGGGTAATTAGCTTTCATAGTCAAACCAAAAAGAATTTTATCTGCATTAGCAACAAAAATTATCTAAAGTGAGATATCCTGGTTGAACTCCACACGAGGTTGTTAATTAACCTTTATTGGCCTACGTTTCGGCGGGATCGCCTTCTTCAGAGCCTGAAAGGATCGAAGCAATTTATGACTACCCGACCAAACGTTTCCACTACCCTACTGAAGTTCGAGTACATTACAGGCCATCACCTAATCGTAAGAGGGGGCACTCACCGCAACACAGTCCGATCTTCGAGACCAGCGAGCCGGCAGTAGGACCTCCTCGGACTGTTCCTCATTCAGGGTCACTCTTGGAAGGCCATCCTTATATAAGGTCTCAGCTCCCGCGTTATTGTGACGCATTCTCCCCTCCGGTTCATTTTTGGATTGCTGACCTCAATCCAAAATGCCTCGAGGGTTTTGCGTGCAGATGTCTGCGATTCTCGCGCCAAGACCCTGACCTCGACCCCAAAATCGTCCCCGTCATGGACTTGAACCCTGTGGGCCCCTAAGGCAGTCGACAAACGTGACCTACTTTTGCCAGGTGCTCCTTCACCCTCACGCTGATCGGCCTCGATGTTTCACCGATGTACTCATCCCCCAACTGCAACAGGTGATCTTGTAGACCACCCCGAAATGGTACAGACTGCGCAACTGGGGGTTGTACATAGACGATCATATAGCCGATTCCTAACCAGGCGACGCTTCAGATTAGTGGGTGGCACATTTACAATGACCACTGTGCTTTCCAAGCCAGACCTCCCCAAGCACTTCCTGATGGAAGTGCTGACTTCCTCAGAGACGTAGGGTAAAATGATATTATATTTGGAGGGTCGCCTTTGGAAAAGGATCGTGGGTGGGTCGAAGTCGATTTGTGATCTTATTCGATCTAACGTCAAAACTAACTTACAAAAGAAGTTCGATAGTCTTTGCAGCACATCACGTAATCTTAAAGTGGGGTCGCGGCGCACCGTGACTGGTCGGGGCTCCGTAGATCAAACAACCGGCACGACAGAGCAATCGGGCTTTTCCCAATCCAGGGTTACCGTATTGGGAGACTTCTCCTTATCTGACTGCGCGCGCTCCATCCTGGAGTTGGGTCCTAGTTTTTCACCATCTCAGCCCATCTCCACGGGAGTTCTCCGCAAAGTCATGTGCAGTTTGCACGAGCTCCAAGATCGACTCCGTCATAAGGCTAAGACTGATAACGGATCTCTCCAGCCTGTCCAGACGAGCAATGTGCCCATTGTGCCCTTCCCTCCCACGTATTTCAAACAGCAGGAGCCTAACGTCAGTTCCGATGTCAGCTTCCGCATCTTCGCTGATGACGTATTAAAAGTGCTCAGTAGGTATCGAAAGCAACGCATGCCATCAAATCTCACTGAGCAAGTGAATGGTCTTAGGGCTGCGAGAGCTGATAAATTCTCATACCATACGTCTGTCCGTCAGTGAAAAAGGGGGAGAGTTCGTAGTAATCCCTCGTGATCTTGACCACGATATCACCGAATATCATTTGAGGGATACCTCTCTCTATCGACCATCCAGTGAAAAAGCTTTCCAAACGCAGTCACGCAGACTGAACCGGGAGTGGATTACGGTAGCTAGGTCAGCAGGGCTTAGTCCCTCCTTGATGACACGCCTCAAAATTGAGACACCGTGTTGTCCTGTTTTGTATCTGCTCATAAAAACACACAAGTTTTCGGCAGCAGACGACCTGGCTTCAATCAGTCCTAACTCGGTGAAAGTTCGGCCTATCATCAGCTGCGTGGGTGGTCCCACTGATCGGATTGCGTGGTTTCTTAATACCATATTGGTGCAGCTACTTAAGCACATACCAGCCCACCTAACCAATACTCAAATGTTCCTGGAACATCTCCATGCACTGCGCCTGAATGGCGCTTGCGTTATGGAATCATTTGATGTAGAGGCCCTCTATACTAATGTAAGCAATGGTGCTGCGATGGAAGCCCTATTTGAGCTCCTAACTCAGCACCACAGCACCATTAATATGTATGGGCTATCTATCAGCCAAATAATGGTGCTACTAGAAGTGTGCCTCGGTTGCAACATCTTCAGGTGGGCGGGGAGGTACTACGAGCAGGTCAGAGGCTTAGCAATGGGGCAACGGTTAGCGCCTACTTTGGCCATAGCCTTTATGTCCAAAATAGAAGCGCCCGCTTTAGAACACCGCCCCTTGCTCTACAGTCGCTATGTTGATGACTGCTTTGTGATCTGCTCCACACAGGAAGAGATGGACATGTGCTTCGAACTTCTCAACACACAGTCTGAGCACATTAAGCTGACACGGGAAAAACCATCCGGAAATTGGCTACCTTTCCTAAACATCCAGGTGAAGATCCAGGATGGCACGCTTTCTACGAAATGGTATAGAAAGCCTAGCAATAAGAACATTATCGTCCACTGCCAGTCCGCTCACCCTCTGCAGACCAAGCGAGCTGTCGTGAGGAACATGTTTCGAACAGCGGCGAAGGTTTGTTCGGGAGAGGAAGAGCGAAAGGAGTCCTAAAGCTGGCACACGAAATTGCTGCCCTCAATGGCTACGAAGCCCCAGCGACCTCCCATAGAGCCAGAAATAGTGGCGCGAATAGCGGACGTGGTGGTGATTTGCTGGACGGAAAAGTCCCTTTCATTTTGCCCTACGTCTCTGAGGAAGTCAGCACTTCCATCAGGAAGTGCTTGGGGAGGTCTGGCTTGGAAAGCACAGTGGTCATTGTAAATGTAAGCGAGAGCTTCGGCACATGACGATCGACGGAAGATCGCCGTCTACGAGGCAGATAAATACGATAGCAGCCTATCCCTGGCTTTCTTATTACAGGAATTCTAGTGAACCTGATGGCGATTTCATTCGCTGCAGACTTTGCAACGCGGGAGCAGAGACCGACGAGTACAATCCTGAAGAAGACCGTCGTAAATGTGCCGCTACCGACCAAGGAAGAGGGATAACGAGGAGGAACTTGCTGGAAGGAATTCAGTAATGTGCACCCAAAGATTTCACGATTCATCAAAAAAAAGTGGCATAGACTTTCTCATCGCTAGATTGAAATCACATGAGGGTTCTGCCGAACACGCACCAAGAAAAGATCGTCAGTTCGATGACTGCACACAATCCAGCGTCTTTAAAGATATTGAAGCGACCATGTCATCTACGCTCACGGCGTATACCATTGCTAAAGAGGGGCTGGCATTCATGAAGCAGTTTCCCTTATTGCTACTGTGTCTGCGCTGCAGGAACGACGCCCAGAACAGCACACTACGACTCCGGTTCGGCTGAGAAAATGATATGGAAAATGAAATGGAAAAAAAGAAAATGAAACCTCTGCGGAGCACACGACGTGAAGTACGTAATTGACAACGACTTGCCGTTTTCCTTGCTCGCCGATGGATCTTCAAATGACGGAGTCAAGTGGATTGTTTTTCTGATTCGCACAGTGTCCCCTATGAACCGTCCAATTACATTCCATCTAGCTCTAGTCGAGATCGTAAGCGAGAGAGCAGATGACATTGTCAACGCACTCACGAACATTTTGGAAGAACTACCTCCATGGGCAAAGGTTTGTGGTCTGAAAGAAACACCTTATAACTTCTTCATGAACCGAATGGTAGCATTGTCTTCCGATGATGCGTCCGTTATGAGCGGGGAACAGAATGGTGTACAATACAAGTTGAAAGATCTTATAAAAAAAGAAACTGATTTCGCGGAACACAGCAGAGAGGAACTTCCTTCTTTCAGTATGTGCTGCCCGCAAGCTGAATTTGGCGGTGAAGCCACAAGATAATGTCGCCTTTAATCTCACAATAGCGGTTGTAACCGAAATGCATCACTTATTTGGCTTGACCCTCGGAACACGAGGCCGTGCAGTTTACTCAGCCACAGCTACGGAAATGGGGTTTCCTGTCCTACAAATGGACGCTTTGCACGCAGTACGATGGTCAGCGAGTCTGCAGAATTCTCTGTCCAGGATTCTCCGTGTATACCCCGTCTCATCCATGCTCTACATAGACTAGCCATCGACACTTCCGCATCTCCGAATATAAAGAGGCGAGCTCAAGCAGCGGCATTTGCTCTGAAGGATGGTCGGACCTTCATCATCTTACACCATGTCAATGCAACGCTTAGTCATTTCGCTAAATTTTCGGAAGCTCTGCAAGATGATGAAGCTCTCCTGATTGACTTCCTATCTCGCTGGAGCATTTCGACTCTTTGCTCAGTCATAACTCCATAAAGGAGGCAGTGTATGGTTATCTCGCTCACAGTGGCTTACTTTTAATGATTGACGCTCACCGGAACAAGTCTGAGAATGTGGATAACCAGTTCTTGAAAGATTACACCCTTCTCAAGGTAACTTCTACTACAACGCTGTAAGTTACTTCCCCACGAATATTCTCGCCTTCGATCCTCGCAAATTCCCTGACTTCTGCGCAGAAAAGGTGCAACGCCGTAGTGGGCAAGCTGATTTACTGCGTGAGCAGCATTTCAGAGATCTTGCCATCCTCACTCACACAGTGACGAACATGTTTCTGAAAAGAATTAGCATCCTCTGAGGGAGGATCCCACCATACTCGACGCACTTATACTAGGCAAGGTTTACCGAACAGATGGCGGCTACAGATCAAGCAAACGTTCACATGATCGATTCTATGCCGATATTCGAGCACGGTTTCGACGATATATGGATCTCAGCAGGCGTTCAACAGAACCTTCGTTTGAATTTCCTTACGCCTTGGATAGGCACATCATTCTAGATATCATAGAGTGCAACGGCAATTACAAAGCATTCCACAAAGTGTGATCTGCCAACTGTTCGTCCAGCAGATAGAGGCTACCCTATTTATACGGACGAGGATGGGAATGTGGACAAATCTCGTCGCAAGGACGCAATCCTGTTATCAATGTATAACTTGCAAAAATATTGTCCCTTAATCGAAACAGGCACTCTGTCCGAAACAAGAATACATTTCTACAACTTCTATGATTCTATTGCTGAAAAAGTACGAGCACTCGACGAATGGCCGAACGACCTCCGCAAGGACAAGAACAGCATAAGATTTTATCAAGCACTCCTCAACAATAGCGATGCATTGAAGATCCCCTTGTTGTCCGTCAGGTGAACTTTCTCATATACTTATTGCAGCTGGAGGGCATTGACTGTCTGATTTTCAGGCCATAAAATGCGTCCTCGTAATCCCCGCAAGTAACGCCGATCCAGAGCGCAGCTTCTCAGCAGCCACTAGGCTAACACAAAGCGATCGAAACAGCTTGGGAACCAAGTCCATAGATGCTCTGATGAGGTGGGTGCCGTTGTCTCGACAGAAAATCAGTGACATTATCTTCTTACAGAGATACCTTTTCATCTCCATACAACTTAGATTTTGTAGAGTCCAAGCGTGATGGTCTGATTCTCCTCACTGTAAGACCTAAAAACCTCGCAAATGCAATGGTTAAACCAATGGTTAAAGCTACCCGGCTTACAAGCTGGACGCCATAAGCCATCCAGCCTCGCAAGATCAGATAGTTTCTATGAAGGAGGTGAAAGATGCCTCTAGCGAAAGGTACTCCTTCTCTCTTCTATGCCTTCTTTTAAATCTATATTAAATCCAGTTGATGGACGATCGCTTGTGGAACATTCTGTCACTCAGTACATGAAAGACAACCGCTTACGAGGCAGACGCGATGCCGAGGCAATAGTACATTAACAACATTACTGCCTCCAAAACAGTAATAATTGATACACACGACGCCGAGATATCATTACTCATCACATCAAAAAAGCAGATTCAAATGTCACAGGTCGTAATAGACCCTCCCTGTACTTTACACGCAACAGCTGTAACCGGCTGCTACAGTTGTCTTGAAGCCGCAAAATCTACAGTACACTGTTATTCAGAGAAAACCACCGAACCCTCGAGTGTACAGATCAAACAATTGATCATGACAGACATGAAACACTTGATCATTTTGAACACTTGATTCCTAATCAAGTGTTCAAAATACACTCTAGCCAATGTCATAATGCTACAGTACGATCATGCAAATGTAAAAGATGTGTGCTCATATCAGAGCGCAGGGAAACTCTCCGAGATCACTTTGATAGGCACACTTTTATACCATACGCCCACGCTAGACCACGAAATATTCGGCGAAGGTAAACAAACAACCGCAAGCAACACAGCCTGGTGGAGCAACATTTCGTTGCCAGACATAGGTCCGCTTGCGGCCACAATTACCAAACACTGGAAAACAACCGTCGCAGTTATCACTAGCTTCACAGTAATCGGACTGCTCACATATTTTCCTCGGACCAGCAGTCATAATCACCATTGTTAAGCTACTCGCCTCGCTTGTCTTCACGATGGCAGAGACGCTCTTCGCATGTCTCAGAAGTCTATTCTCTCTTCTGCGCCGATACCGTAATGACTAACAGTCAACACCCTCGCTCTTGGCTCCATGCCAGCGCATGTCAAAAAAAAACAGAAACACAGCAATCTCGTTTCGTTCCTAAATGTTAGTCCACGACCGTTCTCCTCGCAATCATGCCGAAGCTGCCAGCTGCGGTGCCCGATCCAACCAACAAAGAAGACGCACCTGCAGACACGCCAGGCCTGGCGGCAGCCAACCACCCCGATACCTTTGAGGTCTCCACTCGTCTTACCTTGAATTTGCTCAAGTTAAATATTCAAGAAA